GTCAGCAACATGTCCAGGGCTCAGAGCTGGAAGAGATGAGAAAGTGAACTCTTTCAAAGGTCTGTCTGGGTCCAGAAGGATGCTGCTTTTTCTCCAAAAGCCCGGCTGGCATGCTAGATTAGCTATGGCTGGTAACAGAGGGCCACTGCTGCAGTGGGAGGGTGGCCAGGCAACCTCTGAAGAGTGGAGAGTGAAGCTTCAGTGGGAAGCACAGAGGAAGGCAAAGTAAGTGCCTGAACATTAATGCGTGTCCAGAAATAACAAGGACTCTTAAAATAATAAACATACAGTTGGGTTGGAGACTAGACATTGTAGAAACAGAAGGGATCCAATGTGGAAGCTGTTTAATATTCACTAGATCTGCCTTTTGGTGGGAAAAGTGTCAGTGGCCCTAATGAAGAACTGTGGGAATGATAACTGAGTTGAAGGCAAAGGTTAAGTGCAGAGAAGGACCATTTTCCTCGAGAAGCATGAGATGGAGCTTTCTCTGTCTTGGCTTTGGCCTGACTCCAGTCAGCGCTGGAAGGAAGAGAATTAAAATCCAGTGTTGCAACACTGATGATCACAGTGAGACAGAAGTGGCTCGTGGTAACAGATACACACAGGCAAGGCATGGTGAATGACACTGCAGACTGCCTGGTGTGCCAGCCTCCTACATCATGTCCTGTGGGAACAGCCTCCCTGTTCAGGATGGGGCTGTGACTACCCTGCTGTTTCTGCTTGTGGTGTACCACAGTTCGCAGGAAAATCTTCCATTTAAAGTCAGAAAACAGAAGAAGGGGAACTTCCTTCTCTAAAACAGGTGACAGATGCTTTCAAGATGCAGTCTGAGAAGAAAAAGATCATTTTCCATTCCTTCTTGTAACAAGAAAGGAAGAATAAAATAAATAGTAAGCTGAAACATCCACTGAAAATGGGCCTGAGAAAGGTGCAGTCAGAAGTGGGAGAGGCACTTAATAAAAATGATTGTGATTTAGCAGCCCAGCACCAGGATGTGTCTCAAGAGATTCTCACTGTTTCCCATTCTGCCACCTACCTACTGCGTGACCTCCAGCAAGTCCATCTGTCTCTCTCTGATAGGTCTCCGCTTACTCTCTTCCTTTCTTATCTGTTAGATGACAAGCTGTATTCCCCCCCCCCCCCTCCCACCCTCTTCCTCTTGACGC